CATCATGACTGCTAAACTTAATAGGATGATAAGAAGCCAGATTTTATCTCTCTTTTGTTGCTCATCAAGCATTCTCCCAATGCTCTTTAAGGATTAGGAAATTGCCCGATGCCATTTAATAAAAAGTAAAAATCGGTTTCTGTTCTGTTTTCTTCGGTTTCTGCCCACGCAGATAAATGTCAGGCACCCTGGGTTCCAGCTTTATTGGTTGTTGGAAGCCGGGTCTTTGTACAGCCCTCAACATGTCAGTGTTTATGAAACCGTACCTAGTTCCCTGTGGAAATAGCCAATATTTCTGTCACTTTCCTGTTTTTGTCATGGGGATATGCAATTCAGGCAATTATGCTACATTTTAGCAGCAACGTGGCAAAACACTGAATAGCTTCAAAGGCAGAGACAGTCTGAACAAGCAGAAATTTTTAGCCATAAAAAGAAATGTCCAATGAAAAGCTTTTTGGGGGAAAGTTCAAAAAATCAGTGATTACTACTGAGCTGCCATGCTGCCTTTAGCCAAACAGAAATAAAGCTCTTACACCATATCAGTCCATCTCAATCAATGAAGGCATCGCTGGAAGTTCATTTACTTCAGGAATTCAATTCAAACAGTAAACTTGTTTATTAAATGGGTATTTTATTTGTTTATTTGTGTTTGTCTTAATGCTTATGTGTTCCAGCCAATGAAAATCTAAAATTAGTTTTCTTGTTTGAGTGATAGTAAAAGGTGCAGTTGGAAAAGATGCACATTCAAAATCAATAATAGCACTTTTTAAATAAATGGAGTGAAAACATTTCAAGAGGTAAGGGGGGATTTTACCGTGTGTGGGCTTCAGCAGGAGTCAGAAGCTGTTTTCACAAAACATTCCCATCATAAACCCACAAAGACAAGCCACCTTTAAGCTGTCCTTCATAAATCACAAGTGAAGTTGTTGATATCCCACACTGCCACATTTATCAAAAAACAAGCCCACAGTGCAGGACGGCACTCTTTTTCCCCACACCATTCTTTTCAAAACACTGACAAAAAAACCTCAAAGAGGCAATCTTGTTGTTGGCCGAGTGAATGCTTCAGATTTAAATGATATTTCTCAAAATCTTCTTTTGACAGAAATTATTCAGCGTTTTTGGCTTTTAAGTGCTGTGGCTAGATGATCATACAGACTGCATCACTCCCTCGTCCCACAAAGCTAACGCAGCACTCTGCAGGGCAGCCACTGATGGCCTCTGACTACCTTGCTTGGCAAGTAAGACACGTAACAGAAAAGGGTTGACTTCTACCCCTGTGCTGCATCTGTCTTTTCACACACTCAAAAAAAAACAAGTAGGCAAAAGGCACTTTAATCCCACCTCGAAGTGTTTTTGTGAAAGCGGCTGAAGCTTCAAGAGAAACCACACAGTCTTATCCAAGGCATGTGCTGCAGTCGTTGTGTTAAGCTGCTCCTAAATCAGTAATAGTCAGAAACATCTCACCGTGGCAAAAGAGAGAAAGGAATCGACTGTTACTGAGTGCTCCAAACTCCTCTTTTCATATGAAAGTAAATTTTTCATTTCATTCAGAAATCAAATCATCCAGAAAGTGTGAAGGAAGACTGTAGTCCAGTGGTTTCAAAGTGCAGTCCGATAGGTAACTAACTTTTAGATGTGTCCCTTGTCCTACACACTTGAATTAAGTCTTTATCAAGTCAAGAGGACTCCAAAGCACTTCACACTACATTCACCCTTTCACACACACATTCACAGTGGATGGTAGCCACAGCTACCTGGGGCTGCCATGCACCTGAGCATTTGACCCCCACAAGCAGGCAAGATGAGTGAAGTGTCTTGCCCCATGACACAACGAAAGAGATGGAGTGGGGAATGATCTGGCAATTCACCGACTGCAGGCCAAACTACTATCATCATCATCCAATCAAACTCTTCAGAGCTCTGCTGACAAGAACTGCATCTACTGCTAACATTAGAACCCATTGTGCTGATGCAGAGACATCTAAGAGGTTCAGGACATGGACCCTTGAGAACTGGAGTTTGAGACCACTGCTGCAGAGGCGCAGAATCCAACTGCTTGAAGTCCAGAGTCAGTGATGACTTGGGAATCATGTCATCAGCTGGTGTTGGTCATCAATGCAGCTGTTTACTTGGAAAGTTCCTAATGCTTCCATCTGCTGATGATCCTTACAGAGAGACTGACATAATTCCTCAGTACCTGTCCACTTTGACAAAGGTACAACTGACCATGGTGTTACTGACCTTGATTAGCCTGTAAACTAGTCTGATCTAATTTTTAGAGAGTCTTTATGTGCTGTTGTCAAGAGGACGATCAGACATCCAACAACTGAGACGGAGTCAAGGACATTTGACTGCCAAAGCAACCTGGGTTGGGAGGAACTGAGTGACTTAGTCAGGAAAGCATGTACACCATGTTCAGAGCAAGTAGTCCTCGACATGGTTGTTCACGGTTTTGGCTTCATGTCTCCACCACCTTTCCTGTCTGTTTGTTGTTCAATACAAGTGGTTAAAAATCAAAATCTCTATTACATCTCAGCAGAAGCAAAGACTGATCTCCATCCCATGCCTCACTGATGCAGTAATTCATGCAAAAAGAACTGAGTGCAGATACTCGACAGGAAATGGATGTTTCAGTAGATGCAGTTCTTTTAAATTAAAGTCCTGAAAAGCCAAATTTTGGGTTGTTAAAAGCCGTGAAGCATAGCCTCTTAACTGTCACTCTGAAAAATGTTAGTCCAAGAGGACACTGGTGTCTTCATAACAGCTTATTAAGAAATAAAGAGTTGAAAAATATCATATTGCGCTAAAATATATGGCATGGATTTCATTTCTTGAGCTAAATTACTCATATAAGTAAATTTTTTGATGTTGCTGATATTTTTTATTTAGTTTTCTTAATGATGCGCTACAAATGTATGCCTACTTTCCACTGGTTAGGTTTGCCTCCACTTAAGTAATGCACCAGGGGCAAAAACCTACGACCTTCAAGACCGAGGTGGACTCGCATGGTCCGAATTCAGATGACCCAAAATGAAAGAAACCTCTTTTTTTCCTATTCATCTAAACCGAGGCTAAGCATAGATTAGAAACCTATCTGTTGTGCTCCCCCGTGGCCTGCAATACGCAGTCTATCCACATTAGTTCTGATCACTGGCTGCCTCCAGGCTTTCTCCTCTTCCACTCTTCCCTCTCTCCTTCCCTCTCTTTGTTTACCACATAGAGGTTGATTTATGTCGGCTGCACTTGGCAGAGTTGGGTGGCGTGGGCGAGATACAGCAGCTGAAGTGGAGCGAGAGAGGAGACGACGAGGAGGGATGAAAAGAGGGAAACGCAAAAGGCCAAATCGGAGTGATGTAGCAGGGGGACATGGAGAGATAAGGACAGGCTGAAAGAAGGGAACTAAATACAGAAGGCTTGGCGAGAACAGAGAGAACGGGAGGTGTTGTGCTGGCCTCAGGTGTCTCCTGCTGATTTGTATCTTTTATGATGCGTCTGTCAGAATCCAGGCTCTCTTGTGTGGTTCTCATCCGTCTGATTACATAAAATCATGTCAAACGTAAATAGAGGATGGTTATTTAGAGCAAAACTTTTTCTTTTTTTCATATGGTTCAGTCAGGTAGGATGTTTGTTGCACTGTAAGACAGTCGCCCTAAACATCAAAACATGATTATGAAACAGCAAATCTGGATCTCAGGTCTTTTGTTTCCAGGTATTTATATCTCACTTTGTTGCACAACATTGTGTTTTGTAGCTGAAAGCATTTTAGGGGCATGAGGGAGATGAAATGAGAGATCCAGTTGAAGCCAGATATTTACATACACTGAATAAAAGGATGCAAACATTTTTATCTCACCGTCTAAAGTTAAATCAGACAAAACTTTTCTTGTTTACCAAATTTGGTTTTTAGAAATTATTTTGCGGCTTTTCTCAAATTCAAAGGTTACACATACGTTTTGCTGAGTATCAGGGACAATGTCCTTTAATATGTATGATTTGGGTCGGAGTTTTTGGGATGACGATTGATCTGAAGGAAGGAAGATGTAACATCAAGGAAAAGGAAAGTTGCACAGAGAGCGGTGTGAACGACTGCTGTTGAATGAGATCCGTTTCCACATTGATCAGCTCCTCTCAGCTCCGTGGGGAACAGTTTGATTGATACACTGCCTTGTAGATGTATTTAAACCCCTTGACCTTTTTCTCATTTTCTGACATTGTAGCTACCAGCTGCTATTCCCTCTTTTGGGATTTGATTTGCTAGACCAACACAGAGTAGCACATCATCAGGAAGTGGCAGGAAAGAGAGAGAACATTTTCAGTTATTTTGGGGCCGTTTTTTACTAAAAATTATTTTTTGGTCGAAAAATAACTTAGGTCATTATTTTAGGGTGGAGTTTGCAGTAGAAAATATTTCTAACATTACCAGTGTGTGTGATCTTGCTCTTCCATTCAGTCACCCCAGTTAATAAAACATTTTGTTGTCAATCAGACACAAAAGAAACACTCCACTCTCATTAACTCACTCTACATGTGTTTACAGGCTTTAAGCACCATAAAGCCAGATGCAGTTCAGAGGATTATTGAAGCAGAAACATGGCAGCTGTTGTCTTAAGTGAAACTATGCATGAGCATTACAAAACCCACTGAAAAACAGTTGTGTGTGTGTATGTGTGTGTGTCTGCTGTTATGTTGCTATTTAGCTTTAGTTTATTTTCCAAAAATTCACAGACTACAAGTTAATAATTCATAGTGGCCATGGAAACACAAATAACAAATTCCATCTGTTAAAAAGCTGCTTTGCTATTTCAAAAATGTTTTTTGCTCCGTGGTTCCAGTAGGTTAAAATCAGACAATTGCAGAGTCTGCATGACTCACCGTCTTTCAATAGACGCCTGCAGCACCTGTGAGGAGAATTCATCCCAGCCGCCGCTTCACGGGTTTCTGAAAGAAACCGCATAAAAATCTACATCTCTTGCTTCTCTCTCTGTGTTTCCCTGCAGCTGGTCAGCTGAGCCAGTCGGCTCATTTCTCCCTGCAGCTGCCCTACACTGTGCTGGGCCTCGGACGCAGCGCCAACTTTCTGGACCACCTCTTCGTTGGCATTCCCAGGAAGCCTGGAGAAACGGTGAGGACGTATAATGACACAAAAGAGGCTGGGGGGGAGAAAAATACACCCTGCTGTGTAGTTGAACAGATTATCGTCTGTGGTGGAGCAGAAAAAAACATAAAGATAAAAAACATCAGATTTAAACCCCTAGGTGCAAGTTTCACTGGATCACAAAAGCTAAAGTTAAAACTCCAAATTGAGTTATTTCCGAACAGCCTGTGTCCCTTTTGAGAGCTGCATGCCATGCGTGTCTCTGCCACTTTATGTCTCCGCATTGAGTTCAGTGTGAGAGGGGAGAAACAGCCGCAGGACGGTGATATCCAGAGCCAAAAAGCTGTCCAAGAAAATATCAACTCATAGAATAATTCATGAAAACGTTTAGCATTTCAAAGTCACAGGCGGAGAACAGAAGTTTTGTTCCCGAACTCAGGCGTTTTCATCTCCAGGAGCTGGATGTTCAATTTTTTTCACAAAATAATAAAAGAAAAAAATCTAAAATATTCTTTCGTTTATTTATTTGCTTTTCAAATGAATGCAGAGCAGAAACAGCTGAATCTATTAGAACAGTCTGAATTTTCTACAGTCATTTAAAGCTCAGTTGACATTTTCTTTTGCAGCTGTTTATGCAGAGATGTGATGCTTTATATCAGCTGTCAAGAAATGTGTTCAAACAAGATGTCTGCTAATGAGAGCAGCTCATTAGATAATGTGAGAAAGGTGCCATGCCCACATCTTTTAAACGCTGAGTGTGTGTGTAACAGCTGAGCCCAGTTTAAATTGCAGCAACAATCCGTATGGATTTCTTTCCAGTCTTCCATTTCTGAACTCAATTTATGGATTATTTTCCTAAACACTCATATTTTCACGTTATTTATCTTCTTCTCCTTAATGAGCACCGGTAATGTATTTTCACTTGTTATAAGCTGTGTTTGGCCATGTCTTTAGAAGAGGCATGTTTTCTTCCTACACCTCTTTCCAGGTGTTAAAAGGTTTACTTTCAAGAGTTTAGTTTGTATTTAGAAAGAAAAAAAGGTTTCAGAATTGAAATATATTTAGACACATTGTGGGAGATGGATAAAACATGGAACGTTTTCCAGATCTAAATATGAAATCATCACAGTTTGATAACCTTTTGGGAAAACCACAGCTTTACCGTATTTTAAAAGAGCAAAACCAAAATGATCTCATTTCATGTACTTAAAACAGAAAAGCAATAATTATTCAAAAGTCTAGCCCCCCAAACCTTTGGGTTTTGCATTAGGATTGAATACAGTTCATCCCTGTGCTGTTAATTATTCTGACTATTAGCTAATAATGTTTGCTGGAGATCACCCCAAAAACAGAAGGCGAACTATAGGGCAGGATATTCTGGGTAAATACAACCAAAACAAACATTTTAGCAGGGGAAATGGTTTTTGGACTTTTATTAAAGACAAAAGTAGAATTTTACAACCTCTAAAATCTCACCACCCTTCACTGTTGTTTACATTTTGTGATGAAAGTACGTGCGCTCGTGTCTTCTCCTGAAGTTTTCATGTTTTCTTCAGTAGATCCAAGTTCAGCGCCACCCCAGGTGAGGATTGGAACAGGTTTTGAAAGTGTTTGGTTCATTTGACCCAATGCAGTACGAAAAGAAACCGCATCAGCTGAAAAAGTAACAAATGTTGCAAGTTTGGTCCCTTAACAAAACAAGTCTACTGAACTATCAGGTGTGGAAAGACTGTTGGTCAGAGCGTTGGTCGGCACACCTTTCATTTCTATACCATGTTTCCAGACTCATGAATTTGTCCTTCTGGATACATTTAGGATTTTTAAAACCTTTTTTTTTTGTCCAGTTTTTGGGACTAATTCTTCATATGTTTATAACCAACTTATCAATGCATTTCTGTTCAGAAGTACCAACAATTCAATGTTGTCACATCTTTTAAAACAAATCTTTCACATCTCTGGAAGCCCACGATGCATAAATGACGACTGGAGCAATCCTGCATCCTGTCGGACTATGTGCTAATGTAAAACTAATACGCTAAACAACGGCAAGCTTGTGTTGATGAAATTTATTCATCTCCCACATTTTTCTACTTCACTCCCATAAATGTCAACGCTCTTCAGCTCGACTCCCTCCCCATCGCCGCATCCATCTCCAGCTCCGTTTCCTCTCCCAGTACACTTGTCGCTCTGAATATTCGGAACAACAGAGCCTTTTTTCCCCCCTCCCGTGTGGTACCAAGGTCTCCGTCAAGCAGCTCATTTAAATTGCAGATGACTCAGTCCGACAAACTCTGAAGCCGTAATGCGCCCAAAAACTCTCAGCTTAACCAGGCTGCTTTATTGTCCCTCATTTCAGTCCTTTTTTTTTTTTTTTTATCGCTATACATTTTTATATCATCTTGTGTTCTTATTTTCCCTCCTCCACACACATTCCTTCTACAAAGTGTCTTAATGAATGCCTAAAGATGCAGTCTATTATGCAAAGTGGGCTTTTTTCACCAGCCAGAGGGTCTGGAGAGTGGAGGGACTGCATTAAATCTACAACGTCTTTAATGAGGAAAAGCCAGGCCCCACTGGAAAGAGGACGATGTCTATAAATCCTTTCTACTGTCCCTTCTTGATTCCTTTGTTAGGTTTAATCTTTCTGTTTATCTGTGTTCCTGATCTGTCACTCTGATTTCCGACCTACGCAGTAAAAATATCTCTATATTTAAAAACATCACAAACTGTAAAAAATCTGCAAATTATAGAACAATTTAAAACCGTTAATGTGATGTGAAATTAATCTGTGAAAATGGTCATATGTGTATTTGACATTTCTACGTTCAAGTTATGGATCGTTTTCATGTTTGTTTTAGGAAAAAAAGTGTCACTTATCTTGAGTTGAAACGTTTTCATCTTTGAAATTGATCGACGGTTTCAAAGCCATTGAACCGTGAATGAAAAAAAATATTTATTTTAAGCTGGAATTCTCTGTCGGCATTTTACCGTTGAATTAACTTTTCTTGCACTGAACATTTGATCCAATCTTTGCTTTCCGCCCTGCGTTTTGTAATTTCTCACCTATAGAAACGTTGCGATGTGACGATTTTCCCGCACCTGATTGCCTACTATGATTGTTTTTAGCTGTCAAGTTGTCAAAAATAATGCACTAAATCTTAAATATATGCATGATATATAAAAGAAAAAGGGACCCAGTGTTTTGCTACTAATTGTCAAAACTATGACGACATAATAAGGTCCAAGTGTATCACATTTCACTGGTCACTGAAAAGTTTTTAGAACACAAAAATTCGAAGGGAGAGGGAATTAGGTCAGTTATGCTAGCTTGGCTTTGACATCCTTAAGATGTCCTGCAGAACTCTGTTTCTGTTCAGTTTGTAAGAAAAAAAGGGAGGCGACCCACAAACCAACTCTGTGACAGATAACCAGAGAAACAGGTGTTAAGATTTAACACCTGCTTAATTTAAACTACTACTGCTGCTGTGTTCAGATGATCACTTAGTAATAATCTGAGATTAAACATCAAGCATGAGAACATTATAGAACAGACTGGATGTTCTGTTCTTTGTGTGGGAAATGTCTGCGTGTTTGACATTGAGTGTTTGTGTATAAGAGCAGTGTCTGTCTGCTGCGTCACTGAGGAGGACGGCCTGTGAAAGGAGCTTGAATATCTTCCATTTTCCGTCCGATCTCCGCTATCTGTTACTAGCCTCTTCCTCTGTGAGTGTCTCTCCTCCTGCTTGCTTATCTTCCACCCAGGGGATTCCCTCTGCTGCTCCAAGTGGTTTACTTCTCTAATCAGTCCCCTACTTGTCACTCTCACCCTCCATGTCTGAATCCGCCTCTGTCGGCTCTCTGGAAGCGGAGCTACTTTCTCTGGCTTTCCAGACCGTCTCTCTCTCTCTCTCCCTCTTTCTCTCTGAAGTCTTGGGAAGGTTTTCCTCCTCCAAACGGCCAGATCAGATCTGCTTCCAGACAGCAGCAGTGGAGGCTGACTCGCCTCCAACGTCGCCAAACCCTTCTCCACCCCCCACTGGTTGCCACCAATTGTTGGCGCTTTCCGAGAGCTAAGCGACAATGGCTGGCAGCGGGAGTGTGCTTTTTCTCATTTAAAAAAGCAACGCCTTCGCTGCGCACTTATTTAAAATAGCTGCAAGACGCGGTTCCCTCTCTGGTGTTGAGGAATGGGAATTACAATTAAAAAGCAGCGGCACATCCATGTTCTGCCCAGCTGGGAATTTTAAAGATCCCTCCAGCTCCGAGTGCAGTTATGGTCTTGGGATCATTGATGTGATTGCCCCGGTTGCCTCTGGTAACGCTGAGCTCATAAACTGTAGCTGTGGTAACTCTTGATGCTAAACGGTCTTCATTCTGTGTTTTTTCTAGAATAAATGAAAATAAAAATTCAAATCCTACATGGACTGTAATATGACCAGATTATTTTGTGATCCGAATAACTATTGAAAATCTTTTTTTTGTTTTTTTATTGTAAAAAAATTAAGAGCCCATGAAGATCAGCTGAACCACTTGAATGGGTTTGATAGCACTTTGCAACAATCTGATGGTTTTATTACCTGAATAACATCTACAAGAGTCTTCATTGTTGAGCTCATATGTGTGTTCAATAATTTAGTAGAAAAAAGGCTTTGAATTGGAATATTGCTCATTTTATCAATATTGTTTTCTGTAATTAATTGAAAATTACAAATAATTATAGACTTTGCAATAAAAAAAACTGCAAAATTGCTAGTTCCAATGCGAGTAAAAAGCAAATATTTATTGTTGCATAATAGATAAAGCAATATTATATTTTGCAAGCAAAAAATTCTATTTAGATCACGATCTCTGTCTTTGATTTGAAGCTTTGATCTAACTCTGTGATCAGTTTGGTTTCTAAGTTACTGACGGAGCGTAAAGACAAGTTCCGACTCCATCAAAAGAGCAAATGTGATTTTTTTAATTATAATTTTTGTATTTCTTTTTGTTTGCTCCCCGTTCTTTTTAGATCAGTTTTATAAATTGGGTCTATGACTTTTTTTAGTGTTTACATATAAAATATGGGCTTCCAAGATAACACAACACAATTTAAGAATCTGTACATAATATAGAATAATATGGTCCAGAATCATATTTTGCCTAACATCATAGATTTTGAAATTGACATGATTTACGGTCCAGACATACATTTTTTGTATTAAATGTAAAAAGAAAAAAACAAGGAAGCAAGGAGATATTGCTTTTGATTTTCTCCTAAAGTTTGAACTTTGCAGCTCCCTGATGAGATCATTTTACGTTCTTTATGTTTACAATGTCGACTTTAGGTCATTTAGTTTAACTTCACCAATCCAGTTGTCCGGTTTACTGAAGCGCTTCTGGCTTTTTGTTCTCTTTGCGTTTCAGACATAGCCTTGGTGTTTCTGAACTGAAAAAAAAATATTATAAAAGTATAAAATGTATGGGTTGCAATATAAATCTGCAAAGAACCATCTCATATTATGAGTCTGTTTATAAACCCATGTGCTGCTCGGCTGTCAAACATCGCCCACACAGAGCTGCCTCTACCACTGGACCACAATGATATTTGTTATTTTGTCCTTTTCCTAATGCTGGGTTTGTTTGTGTGCTTAAATGACAGGTAGTAATGGACATGAAGATGAACTCTATAATTTAAGACATATTTCTGATAAGAAATGTAGCTGTTTCTCCAGGTTTTTAATTTTCTGTATAATTATACTTTAATCCTCGCTCCTGCCTTAATGTGTTTCTTGTAATTACAATCTGCTGTCTCTCTCCTCTCGTGTTTTTTTTTCTCAGCTTACTCTTCTGTTGACACTGCTGCAGGGTCTCGAGAAAGTATTCAGATGTCAGGTCCCTTTCCAGATTTTGTCACAATTCTAACACGAAATACAACGCGCTTTATTGAGATTTCACCTGATAGAGCAGAAAACATTTGAAAAATGTCAAGTTGCATTAAGAAGCAAGTAGTGGGAATTGATTAAAGTTCTTAGTCGAGTTATAAAAAAATATAAAACAAAAATACAACTGATTTTGTCAGACTATGTAATGCATTAATCCCAGTTAACAATGTTAAAGTCCAACCCTATTTGTAATGTAGCAAAATGTGAAAAGTTCAAGGTGTCTTTCCTGAGACGTTGGATGCGCTGCCTTAGTCGCTTTCCATAAAATATGCATGTTTTCAGATTATGAACCATCTTAAATTAACATGGCTTTGTTCAATTGACAGTCTGCCATCTTTAAGTTTATAAGTGTATTGGCTTTCTTCCTCTCTTTTCAGGAGACAAGGAAACATGAGTGGACGGCCATCATTCCCAACTCTCAGCTCATAGTCATTCCCTTCCCACACAATACTCCCCGCAGGTCAGTAACACTCACCGCAGACATAAAACATTTCAGTTGAAACATAAAAAGCACACATACACATTTCTCTTGTAAACTGCTGCCACAGACACATTTAAACACTCATGCTATTCACGGTTTTATTCAAGCTCCTTTAACTTGCTGCAGACGGTGTCGGCGTTGTCTCAGAGGAAGACAATGCCCGGTGAGCAAACACCACGGCATCGCAGCGTGTGTGCGGGTGTTATTGTGGTGCTGTTCACATGTTGTTATGAAAGCCCAGGAGGAGCTCCAGATGGCAGTTCGTCTCTGAGAAAACACACACACTCGCATGTCTCCCTCGCCCTCCATACGTTACACCCAGGTGTAAAACCACTTGGCTGCCAAATGTTTCAAAATGATGACAGTTTTAGCGGGATTACTGTAGTTCTTTGATTGTTTCCTTTGTGAAAAATGGGAAGGAAAAATGGCAACAATAGTTCTTCTGTGATGGTTCACAGCTGGAGCTCAATGCAGCAAGAAGAGCTCTTGTTATTTGGAGACATATTAACTCAGCCACTCTTTGGTAAGAGGTTCGTGTTCTGTCTGAGGTGTCAAAATACCAACACTTTCTCTTTATTATAGAGACCAAATCACACTTGTGTAATATTAGCAGTGTAAACTTGTTTCAATAAATGTTCCTATAAACACACCTCAAAACCTCGTGGACAGCTGCAGAGGTTTTACCAATGTCATTCTAAAGCATTAAGAATCAATACTCTATGCAATTTAGTCCAAGGTTATAAGTACGTAAAGCAGTTGCATTGAAATGATGATAAAACACAATTTGTGTCAACTAAAAAAACCTGTGGTTCCATTCACCTGGAAAAGGCTTCTAGATATTCCACTTTTATCCACCTTCACACTGTATAAAACGGTTGTTTGTACCTCCATATGTAAATCATGTGCTCTGCTGTGTTTTGAGAAACATTTTCACTGTTTTGAGGTGTTGATCTATGGTTTTTAATTCAACAGTAAAACATTTAAACCATAGAAAATGGTTACAAGTATAAGTACACCAAAGTTTTTGGAGGTGTCTGACATCTTCCTGTTCTTCTCTTTTTAGCTGGAGCGCTAAGTTGTACCTCACTCCTAGCAACAGCGTCCTGCTGACGGCCATCGCGCTGATCGGCGTGTGCGTCTTCATCCTTGTGATTATCGGCATCCTCCACTGGAAAGAGAAGGTCAGGACACAGAAAACACTCACTCGGTGCTCTGCTGTAGTAAATGTTCACACCTTCTCGGTGAAACACAGCTTCCTCCTTCTTCCATTCGTTTATTGGTGAATGAGCGAGAGAGCCTGGGTGAGCAGACTGGTCACAACCAGCAGCAGATGGATCTCACTGCCTGTCCTGTAGTCCTCTGGCCTCCCCACCGAGCCACACACACACAGTCCTTCTCCTCCACCATCTTTCTATCCCCGCGGGCCACAACCTGGAAGGGCGTTCAGCTGTAATTGCCTTCTTCTGTCCTTCCAGCACGGTAGATCTGCTGCTCATTACTGCCTAAATGCGCCCTCCAGGGAGTCGGTGCATGTTTTCTCATGTGTTTTGTGCTTCATTCTGGGTGGGTCGTTCTCAGCAGCACACACACGGGCACGCGCAGTTCAGTCACCGAGGACACAAGGACGCAAACGGTTAACAAGTTATTCCAGCAAATCTACTTTTTCTTTATCGTTTCCCTTTTTCTTCTTCAAACCCTGTGATTGGTGCGTGCTGATCGGAGAAGAGCAGGAACTCTCTGGCATCCTGTCGGAACCATCTGCTGCTGGAGCATGTGGGCTGCATGTGTGTGAACATCTACCATATGAGCATGATTACACACACACACACACACACGCACGCACAGGAGATCTTTAATTGTCCTCCGTTGAAGGGTAATACTGTAAGTACTTACAGAAAAGACCTGGCTTAAACCTGACTATTTTTTAGCTTCCTTACACAATAACACACATCCACACACACGCACACACGCACACACCCACACACACACACAGTACAAATTATATAAGAAGTACATTTCAAAAGAATAGAAGACAAAAAATAATACATATTTTATTTATGCGAAATTTACCAAGTATGTAAAATATCAATAAAGACACTAAAATTATGATGTTTAGCTACAGCTGTTACTCAGATCTTCACCTTTCCATTGGGAGCATTTAGAGGACAGTCCCCCGTGTTTCCAGTTGGGAAAAATGTTTCTAACCTACCTAGACTTTATACAGTACTTACAACTTCATTTCTGGTTGTTTGATCTGACCAGGGTGTATACTCCCTCTTAACCAATGATGAAACTCCTTACAGCCCCGCAAGAATAAACAGTATAAACAATGGCTGGATTGATAAATTAAAAAAATAAAAACTTCAGTAAAAGGAGAAAGAAATGATTGAACCATTTCTAGAACCTCATTCGATTTACGTCGTCATTTTAACTGATGAAATTCAGAAACTCCATTTGATGATTAAATAAACATTGAGGCGCATTAAGTATTCACTCTGCATTAACTTTTTAATTTGACCCGAATTGCTAAATGTATTATCAGGTCTCTACACAGCAGAGCTTCTATTACCAGTGCTGTGCTCACAGCAGAATATCAAATGCAGTGTTTGAAATTCTCACTGAACGTCTCCTTGGGACTTTTTCGCATGTTGCCTTTGCAAGGCACAACAACAAATTTGAAACAGTCAAAACATTGAATTTTAGTCCTTTGTTTTCAGAAACTCGTCTTTCACTGACTAAATAAAAACTACTTGATTCTTTCGTGAATCACAGCTGATTGTAAAACACGTGAACCAAGTGGGTTTTTTCTTAACTTTTCCTCTTTGTCAGGATTTCTTCCTCTAGTCTTGTTTTCAATAAGGGAAGATCAGTGGGTCTTTACTCTACAATACTAAATCTCCTTATCCTGAGAAGAAAAAAAGCGGTTTGTTGTTGCTGCATCATTTGTGTCCTTTTCTGTCTGTAAGGTGAACGCATTCGCTGTAAGTCTGCTGCATTTGCCTGAACGTGAGCAGAGTTTGGATCTAAGCGGCTTTAAGGATATTTTTACCAGTGGGGGACGACGCAAAGAACTTCTGAAAATATAGAAATGAGTCAAACTAGCAGCAGGTGATACTGTGTTGCAAATGTAAACGAGGCACTGCAGAACAAGCATCAACACTCCTACAGCACTCCTTAGAAGAATCGGTTTAAGTTTAAAATAGAGACTGAAGAATATCATGTCTGGTTGGTTTGAGTCTGTACTCAGTTCAAAGGTTACATTAGTTTGTTGGAAGACTCAGTCTGCTTTTGGTATATATTCAGATTGAAGATGACAGTCTGCACTGCTTCCAATAAACCACAATACCAGTTTTGTTTGTATCAAAGTCAACTGAATGTGATTCTGATGCAATCTGTCCTGAGAATACAGCTTCCATAAACGACCTAATCGTATCTGTTAATTATTGAAAGGATGGCATGACTTTCCAAATATTGTCAACAATCGTTTTTGGAACAGCCGCGTCTAAAGTTGTGAAAAGCTTTAAAGGGGAAGTATGATATATTTTCCAGGCATATAGCGCCATTTCATAGCACAATAAAGTTACTGATACCTTCAGTTGTTATGATAATCCTGCATATATCAAATATGACTGAAAAGAAATCTTACTTCCTTAATTTAATGCCTTGAAATAGGGCCTCTGTCTCTTTAAAAACTCCTGCTCACTTTGAAACTCTGCCTTCTGGAAGTCATCACAACACAACATGGCTCCTCTAGTTGCCCTTTAGCATTTTTTTTTTTAAATCAAATCAAATTTTATTTGTATAGCACATTTCAGCAGGAACGCATTTTTACCAGCATAGCACTGAGAAATAGATCCTATGATTAAATCTTTACAAAAATATATTTTGTACAAGTATATTAAAACCTGTGGTGACAGTGTAATATGAAACAAATCATCTGTAAAAAGATCGATCTCCTCCACCTCCTGTCTGAACTGCTATTGATGTCTGAAGAAAGTCACCACTCCTAGTCAGAAACAACCAATCAGAGCAAGGAGGAGGGTCTTAGCGCTGTCAATCAACTCTAGTATGAGCAGCGAAAAGCTCTAACGGTGGAGAAACACCTTACCAGAAAACTGTTTATCTGCCCTCATTAGCAGCCGTGCTAAAACCCCCATTAGAAGAATCAAGCCAGAGAAACGCTGGCTGATTTATTCAAATGGAGTATTTTCCTTGTTAGTTTGGACTTTTTAATAACTGGCCATTTTGTCTGTTATTATTTGTTGAAGGTTGTTGAACTTCATAGGTTTTGCTTATGTGTGATTTTTATTTCCCTTTTGTTTATCGTTTGTGGTTGTATTGTTTATTTTGGATATTTAAAATATCTTCCAGTTCCAGTGTTTCTGGGACAATACATCATCCTGTAGAGTCTGTTATCGTCACAGGATTACTTATTGTGTATCTTGTGAACAGTAGATTTGGACATGTTTTGGATCATCCTAAGAAACCTCTTGACGACCATTCATCAGGTTGATTATATTTAAGATACCATCCATTCCTGGCCCACAGCATCACAGATTCTCCTCCATACTTACATGATCTGCTTTCCATCTTTGCGGCTCTTTCTTTCCCTCCCCAGCTGCATTGAGGGATTTTTGTTTGTTTTGTTTTGTTTTTTTACTGCAAAGCCAAATTTTTATCTCATCTGAACAAACTACATGTTCCAGTTTAGGTCCCAGAAGAGATTGGCAAACTCCACATGCTCCACATGCTGGTTGTTTAGCATCACTGCTGAACAACCAGTTGCCAAGTGGATTTGGTACAATGGTTGTTTAGGGTTTGGTGATTCCAAGTTGCCACTCTTTGCTGCAGTTCTCCAACGGTTAGCTTGAGCAAAATCTTTTCTTTTTCTTACCTTCCTCACCATTTTGCTCTCAGTGCATGCTGACAAGATAAATATGGCTCCTCGTCCAGCTTCAGGGTCTGACGCTAAGAAATGGGCCTGGGTGCCTCATCCTGATGTATCGCAGGGTCACAGAGAGTCATGAATTCATAATTAAGTTCCTAGAAGAAGACGAAGAAAATGTTTCAGTTATAATTGAATGAGTATTGAATCTACCAACTATTGTTTGACTTGCAGTGATTTTATTGAAAACTACAGTTTCTTTCTCCGTGATGGTATTTTTTCCACTAAAATATTTTTTATCAAAAGGAAATTTATGTAAATTCTTCAGAGTAATAAAATAAGAGATTTTTTTTTTCACATCTTTTCCAGGCATTTACCTCCTGATGTTCTTCAGCGGGCTTGATGCCAGTGTAGGGGTTTTTATCTAGAATCATCAAACCCTTCTACCTCCCCATACATATTTTATTAATGTTCCTTATTGATGTTTTATTTCTTTTGAGCCTGCATCTCACCCCTCCTTGTGATACAATTGAACGAGTGGTTTTTAGTATTTTCTGCCCGTCGGCGCTCACATTTTCTGTACCTTATTCAACAGCCTTAAACTTATAGCTGTTGATTCCAAACATCATTTCTGAATCGCCTGATTAATCGATAAAGACATGAGACAAGACGGTCTGCCTCGCTGTACTCCCACCAATCATGTTTGAGAGATCCTTTAGTCTCCCGTGGCAACCATTCAGCTGTGCAAAACGCCTTTTGGGACCCAGCGCCACCTTTGAGGTGCAGCTCCTCCTCAGAGCTGGAGATTTCAGGCGTCAGAGCTTTCACCTCACAGAGAGCAGCCCTCACCTGAAACTCCTCCACTCTGCTCCTTCAGACTAGCCAGAAGCAATTAGCAAACACCTGGTGGAACTGGGTATCTGCTGAGCTCATTATAGGAGCTAATTCTCATTGAAATGCCAGTTTAAAAACAAATAAAAAATAAAAACATTGTTAAATAGAGGACCCATGTTGTGATGACTTCCTGAAGGTGAAGTTTCAGAAAGACCAGTAGTTTTTATTAATGCCATAATTTCAAGGCATTAAATTCTGGAGTCAGTTTTCTATTAAGTTACATTTAATATAAAATAGCACTTTTTTTAAAATCTGAAGGAGACATAGTTACTTGAATGTGCTATGAAATGGGATTATTTCTCTGGGAATCACACTGCTGCCCCTTCAAGGCTACAGTTGGTGCCAAGACTGTAATGTCAACAATGTCTTCCAGTAACATATAGTTACTCGGTCATATTTTCA